GGTTGGTCAAGGATGGCAGCTTCTTCCTCGTTGCAGGACATGTGTTTGAACGGCGTTTCGGAATAGCCTTCGGCTTCGGGTGTGCGCGGGATTGTTCTATCTGCCTGGAGTTATGTCTGTAGAGGGGTCGGAAAAGGGCAGTCATGCTGTTTATGTCATATATATATATATATACCGTAGATGTAAATGTAGATGTAGATGTATGTGTAGATGTAGTGTGAGATGGATATGAATATGTAGATGTATATGTAGACGTAGATGTAGATGTACATGTACATGTACATGCATACGTATCATATATGTATATATACATGCATACGTATATGTATATGCATGTGTTCGTGTAGATGTATACTTGTATATCTGTATTTTCCGCTGAGGTCATATATCCGTGTATGTATAACTAAATATATGATTGTTCAGATAAGTCGAAGGAAGGTGTATGTCTGATCTAATGTTATGCGTTGGCTACTGCGCTAAGCATACGGCCTTCTGGCATGACTGCAACACATCCCCAATTCACCGGGTATGCCAGATTTATTCACCCACAGGTTCCCTAAGCATGTTATATTATATTATATAATAACCCTAAACCCTAAACCCTAAACCCTAAACCCTAAACCCTAAACCCTAAACCTAATAATGCTGCCTGCGATGACGAGGTTTCAGGCTGGATCTTGAACCTGAGAGGAAACCTTACACCCTAGACCCACAGAGTTAGTTGAGGCTGTGGGGCTCCAGACCCACAGCTTTTCCGGGTTTAGGGTTTAGGGTTTAGGGTTTAGGGTAAACTCTTCAACCTACAACCCTAAACCCCAAACACAATTCTTTGCAAGGGCCCTGCAGCTTCCAGCCATTGACCCGGCCTATAACTTCATGCTCTTTCCCAAAGGTACCACGTACTTTTATAGTAGATACTTAGGCCTTAAAGGGGTCCCTATATAGGTACTTTAAGGCCTAAGTATCTACTATATGGGCACATGGAGCCTTAGGTTTTTTTTCAAACGTCCAATGAACTGGGGATCTCCTCCTCCCCACGCGCCCACACAAATCCACGAAGCGCACAAGCATCAACTACCCGGCCCCATGGTAGCTCCTTGTTGGGGTTCTATGTATGAACCCCCAAAAGGAACAACTTTTGGGCCTATAGCATATGGGTATAGAAGCCTGCACCTCATGCGGATATTACGTGGATTTTTATTTGCGTAGGTGCCTTGTTGGTTTCTATTGCAGGGAAGTCGAAGTTCAACCATAAGACAGTAACATCAGTTGGAGGTTCCAAGACCCGCAACCTTATAAATTCTGCAAATCAATGGCAACGCTGAACACGCAAACTCTCGAAACAGCGGGGGCAAATAACTAGGGAGGCTAGCCGATATGCTTGGATCGTCTGCAGAAGTGGTCGATGAGCTTTCGCCCAGTTTAGCGTAAAGTTTCTGCGGACAATGAGTTGCAATGTTCTTTAGCATCCGGGAGCCCCCAATATACATGAATGACATGAACCTAAACCCCGTCTTAGTCTTCCTTGACCCTGAGCCCTCGTCCCTGTAGCCTTACACCGGGCTCTTAGTTCCTTTCGACCCTTTCTTGCAAAATCTCGTGAATAAGATAACCTTACGGGCATACATAGAATCCATAGAGCCTCAGAGCCTCTTGAAATATCAAGAGATCCCAAATTATGGTCCCTTTTATTCAAGACCCCCAACCGCCCCCCCCCCCCCC